ACAGTCCTAAATCCTTTGTGAACCCCTCCCACTAGGACAGAAACTCCAGAGTGGGTTGCAGGGCAATGGGAGTTGTATGCCCTCACAGCTGCTTTGTGTATGTAGACCCAAGGAGATCCAGCCGTCCTTTTAGCTAGAATTTAGTCTTCAGATTCTTGGAACCAATTTTCAGTGGAAAGGAAACTTAAAGCTTCCTGACTCCAAAACAGTGTTTGCAAGAAGACATGAAAAAAAATATTTTCATTTACAGGGAATAGAAATACATAAACCTTGATCCAAGAGCTTATTTTATCTTACTATAAAGAACCTAGTCCTGACCACTGTCAGTGAAAGAGGTCTGGCTTTATGGGCCTCTCTGCATAGTGATTTCTATGGTGTCAAGTTGCCATCTCCTTTCCCCAACACAGCATAACAAATACAATGTTGGATCTTCACACACAAAAAAAATCATGTTTATGGAAATCAAATTGTCATGGCAACAGAAAAGGTCTTGCAAGTATTTTAAAAATAGCAAATTAACAAAACTTATTTATGAAATCTAAGATCCATTCTTTTATGAATGCACTTAAAAAACAGATACAACAAATGGTTTTCTTACATAAGGAAGAAATCATTTAAACCCAAGATCTCACGTCACCATATTGGCATATGTAATAGATATATGCATACAAATAAATACATTATTTTAAACTTAAAACAACAAAATTGTTTCAGCTGGACAGTGTGATACTAATGTGATCATTGGGCTTGTTTTATTTCAGGTAAAATATTTTCATAGAAATATTATGATTCGTACTTTGTAAAATGACTCAACTTTTTAACATAGTAAACTTCTAACAATGGCTCAGTATAATTTAGTTTATTAATCTCCATTAAAACCTCAGTTCTTCAAGGGCTTATAACACTCAGCTAAAAGTGTACAATGTACACTTTTTTAAAACAACATTCTTATTTGGTTCAATTGAAATTTTTTCCAACGCAATCTCAATATTAATTTGACCATTTAGCCTTTGTGTTCTTTACAAACTTGCTTGTGTTATAACTGAACCAAAATGATTATCCACAAACTCGGAGCATTTCTAAGTTTTGTGTGGATATTCATCAATGTTTGTGGCAAGCTGAGAGCTCAGCCTAGATAAATGACAAGCTGGTGAGATGCTGGATAATTACCCATGATACGTTTAAATTCATATTCCCAAAGATGGCAGCCTTAGTCCCCTGCACAGTCCTTATGTAAGCATTATCACTGAAGTTAGAAACGCAGTACAGGGCGAACCCCTGCAGTGAACGCGATCAGTCTTAGTTCTGATTTTGGTCTTTAGAGATAAAGTTAAATGTGCATTGATGAAAACTTATGAATTCGAACTTTACTCTGGGCATATCCTTTGGGTATGCTTATACTGGAACTTTTAATTAAAGTTAGTGTATTACCAATCAGCTTTCATCAACCATCTCATTTATATTTACTAGTCTGGGTATTTCGTGATGATATGCTCAAAGACATGAGTGTCCATGGTTTTGTCTAGTCTGGCAGAGTTGTGAATTAGTTAGCAATATCTCTACTTTTTTAATTCAAAAGCTCCGTATAACATTGCCATCCTTCAGTACTGAAAAATCATGAATTAGGTTCTCCAAAACTGAAGATTTAAAAAAAATGTAATTCATTCTTTCTCCCCACCATCACCCCCCTTTTTATTTTTGAGACAGGATCCTATCTTCAAATCCTGCTCCAAAGCCATTAGAGTTACATTTTTTTCTTTTCTTGAAAGCAGAGATTCTCATCTAATCAAGAGCCTCAGGGGACAGGGTTCTAAGGAAACACCAAATATTGTGAGAGTCAGGATTGCACTGCTAGGCCTTTTGAGGGGCTGTCAAGTAGTTAGAGAGAAATTGTTTGGCCTCTAACTCCCTTGGAACGGAAAAACTGAGCTTTGAACTGCCTTTATAATAAGGACTACATTGCTGGAGGAAGGAGGGTGAAAGCAGCTTATAAGTGGTAAGATGGAGAGAAAACAATCTGTGGAAATGAGTATTTTAAATATTCAAGTTCCATCTACTTATTTTTTCCTTGATTCTACACACAATGAAACCTAGGAAACTTATCAGAAATCAACAAGTGAAATATAACTAGGTAGAATGGCACGTGATTTTTCTGAAGCTCTTGCAGTATTTTCATTTTGGGGCTTCTAGTTAACATAAACGCTCAAAAACCCTGGGAAGAGTGCGAAAAGGAAGAGGGATGAACTCCTTCACTTAATGAAAAAGCTCCCAATCTTCAGCAGAACCAGGGAAACCCAGCTTTCACGTTCCTGGAATCTCTAAAGCAAGCTCGGTCAACACAAACTTTTCGTTCTTATGTGACACTGGGCCCACGCTGATGTCATGTCCTGGGTCTGACTTCTGTTCAGTGATGTCTAAGGTTGCTGTGTGATGCTGGCTCCGGCTCTCTGCTTCCATACTGCTGCCACACCAGCTTCCTTACACGTGCATCACAGCACAACTGCTCCAGTTCACAGACCAGTATCTGAAAGGCAAATGAGCTCTAACTGCAGTTTCAAATAAGATATTGGACTGTGAACTGGAGTAGCTGCAGCACAGGTAGGCATTCCCTTCTGTTCCTTTTGCTGCTGGAGCAGTAACTTCCAGCAGAAGTTGTGTAAGGCACAGATAATGTTTTTAATTGCCAGTAAGGTTTGCCAGATGTCAGAACCTTTATACTAGCAAAATCCCAACTACTGGACATAGGTACAACACTCTAAACTGGTTTACCTTCTTCCAGATATGGGCTGGAAGGCACGTCCGATAAAGAGTGGCTGAGGACTCTGGGTTTGTCTAGTTTGGAGAAAAGGAGTCTGAGGGGCGACCTCGTTGCTCTCTACAGCTTCCCGAGGAGGGGAAGTGGAGAGGGAGGTGCTGATCTCTTCTCCCTGGTATCCAGTGAAAGGGCGCGTGGGAATGGTTCAAAGCTGTGCCAGGGGAGGTTCAGACTGGACATTCGGAAACACTTCTGTACAGAGAGGGTGTCAAACACTGGAACAGGCTTCCTAGAGAGGTGGTCGATGCCCCGAGCCTGTCAGTGTTTAAGAGGCATTTGGACAATGCCCTTAACAACATGCTTTAGCTTTTGGTCAGCCCCGAACTGGTCAGGCAGTTGGACTAGGTAATCATTGTAGGTCCTTTACAACTGCAATACTCTGTTCTATCTTTATTGACCAGTGCTACAACCAAGTCCATATACATCCACTGTAGTGCTGCAACTGTGTAACTTTAAGGTTGTAAAGCTCTTAAATGAAGACAAGTCCAAAAACAGAAGAAAGAATGTTATATGCCAGATTGACTTTATATCTCATAGAAAATTAGAAGAAAGCTCTTTTCCTTTCCTCCTTTCCAGGTTACCTCTGAATGACAGTTTTCATAAATCCACTGCAAACTCCAGGCTCTTTTACAAATTTATGGACTATTTTAGAATCCCCTTACCATCCAATCACTTGTTTCTCCACAAAATTCAAAATTGTATACAGATTCTAAAATTTACCTTTCTGCTTTATGCCAGCTGCTGCCACCTACGGGTGTGTTTGTGTACAGGGTGCTGCATGCAATTTGATGGGTAAGAAAGAGCCTGAGAAACCTAGTTTCTGCTTCCCACTCCTCCCTTGACTATCCTGAACAGCTCCACTAACTCTCAAAACTCTTTTCATGGTGGAACAGAGACAAAATGGCAGTGAGCTGCTGCAGGCAATGGTGCTTTATCAGAGTTTGTAAATCTCTCTGACACCCACTTTTTCAGAGCAGGTGAAAAATTCACCTCCATCCTGCAATCCAGACTAGCCAAAATTCACCAGTCAAAAGCACTCTCCTCATCCAAGTTACTTCCATCTTCAAATCCTTTCACTCCTTTCCTCTCTTGCTGCAAGAAGTTCCAGTTCTTTGGCCTTCTCACCAAATCTCTGCGAATGTACTTTTCTCCTTCTGGGCTTGATTCTCTGTTTTTCTCCACGTCACACCCTTCGTCTGGAACAGCTTTCCAGACTCCTTAAAATTCAGTTGGTTTACTTGGCCATTTAGCAGCTCTTCTCTGCTGTCTGCTCCTACCTTCGCTCTTAATCTTCAAGTACATCTGTCCAAACTGCATTAAATAACAAACAAGACTGCAAGATGCCGAGCAAACCCTGTCTCCTTACGTGTTCATTAAGTAATGAATACTTCCACAGAACTGCTTCAACAACAGCAGTGAACAAAAACCAGTGAACAAAAACGTCACTGGCCATTTCTTTTGTCTTCTGTTTTGATGGAAACAGAAGGCATGAGGGAGGGGAGAGAAACTTGTTTGCATTTAAGTTGGTCTGGCACTGACAGCAATTCGAAAGTAGCAGCACTAGGTTAGTACACAGCTTGACAGTGAAATGAACCAAAAAGTTGTTATAAACACAAGTAGAGCTCAACAGCTGACTTGTACCAACTACAAGGAGTGAAGAGCAAAAACTGACCAAAGGACATAAACAGTACTAAGTACTCGGACTGTGACAGAGACTGTAGGCAAGAACAAGGCGTTGCTGTGCTCTTGCTGTGTATGCCCATAACTGCGTTTGTAAAGCAGGGGCCGTGGGAGGATGGTGAGTAAGGCGGCAAGTACATATGTGACCATTATGGCTAAGCAGATAAACTCAAGAAAGGGATCCAGTGTAAAATACAGGAAAGGGAGGAAGAAGAAGAATATATTATGGGCTAACATATGGGCTAATAAAATACAGCCACAAAGCAGAAAGCAGCTTTCTTCCTAAAATACAGCAGGTTGTGCCATGGGATACTGGATTAAAACTAAGGGGCCACACTAAATCCCTCAGCAGAGATAAAACCCTGTTGTTTTTTTACTGATCAGGTACATAGGCTGGAGTTGTCTCAACCGAGGAGCTACAAACTTGAAATAATTTGGCATTTATTCTGATCACAAATTATCTGCGAATCAGTTTTGAGTTTTCCAAGCTTGTTTGTCATTCTAGATGGTCCAGACACTTCATGGCACAAAAATATTCCAGACTACCCTGTGCTGGCAAGATCGTTGAGTGACTGTTCAATATGATCAGCCAAGTAAGTTATATAAGACACTTCTCTCTCTCACTTAAATCTGTTTTTTTTTTTTAAAAAAAAAGAGGAAATCAATAGCCTTCTCCATACTGACAAGAACAGGACCTACAGGAGTAGAAACCTGCAGATTCAGTTGTTCTTGTGGCCAACTTTACCTCACCATGAGGAATATCTACAGCACAGCTGATACCGCTGATACCACTGCTACCAGCAATGGAGCAGTAACCTGGACACACACATTTTATCACAGGTCGCCTTTCCCACCTTGCGCAAGTAGATGAAGAAATTACCATAAAGAACTTCTTGATCTTTTCAGCGCAAAAATACAAAACCCAACAGCGTGAAGTGTACTGACAATAGGTTTGCTTTGTTTAATTATGCTCTCATGAACAAATAGCGCATTTCTGCAGACTACTAGTGATCTATACATCACAGGCTGAAAGGCAACATTAGCTAAAGAATTCCGGCAGTGAAGTTCACAAACACAAATTCATACAAACACTTTGAAAAACCTTTGTGTTCCACAAACAAGCTTGTAAATCACCCAGATTCATTGATTTGCATGTCCATAGGAAAATAAATATGATTAAAAAGGATAATAAATGCCAAAGCAAGTTTGAGATTTTAATGCACAGATGTTTAAAAGCCCCGATTTCTTTTCTGCAATATTTGTCCTACTGTAGATAAGAAAATGTGTTTTTTCCTTGAAATTCTTTGTTTCAATAATGAAGGCGATGGATGTTTGCTTGAGGCATCTATTTACCATTCCAACAACAAAAATAAAATGGGTATTGATAATTTTATGCAGATCTCATCCCTGCAACTTTCCTGAGTGTTGTGTTCTGTATTTCTATTCAGCTCTTTGGAGAGCTCATTCTGCTGAAGAGAGCTGTGGCTTCTAATGAGAGCCTTCTGCAGATGCTTGGCTTCTATAAATCGAGCATTAAAGCCGTATCTACATAGCTGAAGGTCTAGCCCTTGAACTCTATCAAGACTGAAGCAGAATAAACAGATGGCAGAAGACTCGTGATACAGAGCTGACACGCCCAGGAACAGGAGAGCTGTACACCGCAGAAGAACAAAGTTCAGCGGGCTGGGAATCATCCCTTCTTTCTCTAGCTGCCTGTGAGAGGCTGTCACTCATGATCTCCTCCACCGGCTATTTCATGGCTTATGGGTGGCTGCTCTCCTACCTTGCACTAACATAATTTTATGCTACGTATTTCAATTACTCCCTGCATAAAAATAGTATACGTGTATAATTCAGGCTGTGATCCAGAAGTCCGCCCCCTTCCTGACAGGAGGGATTAATCTTAGAGAATACCTCATACTTTCAGATAATTCCACTCACTTCTCACATTTCCCTCAAGTTCTCCCCCTTTGCTTCCCCCCCCTCCCACACATGTGATGTCGAGGGAAGGAAAAACGGATAGGAAGGAGGGCAAGATTCCCATGTATCAGCTCAGGGAATGACAGGGAGCCAGATCTTCTCCCACGCTGACTGGCACACGGCAGCTCCAAGAGAACACAGTCTGCCAGCTAAAGGGCATGGCCAGCCCCTTCTCTCAGTTGCCATCTGCAGCACGTACCGGCTGGAGGTGCACACTGCTCAATCCTGTGGGAACTGAAAAAGAGAGGATACACCACCATTTATCTCTGCTGGTGTCATCGTCTTCCATTCTCCAGAGCTTGTCACGGCATGATTTGGCCCCAAGGCCTCAGAGACTGCTCCAGAAGCCCTAAGCCAAACTAGAGGTTACAGTGTCTGTGGCGCAGGGTGCCTGTGGCAGAGCTGGAACGCTGGTAGCCAACGGCACGATGGCTTTTGCTACAGCACTCACGGAGAACACCAGCTCCCTCTTCTCCCTTTCATACTATCTGCTCCTTTTATGAACCTGAGCTAGGGACACCTTCATTACAGCTCAACCCTGCAGCCCTGTCAGACACAGATGAGGAAGACCGCATCGGACCACGGAAAATTCTGAACCAGGACATCTCCAAGTGGTTGCGTCTATCACAGTGAATGGAAGCAGCATGTAATTTCAAGGCTGTTCTGCAAAACAGATTACATGTAGACGGGCTAATCAAGCTTTTTTAGGTTGTATTTGGTCTGAATTTTAAGTTTTGGCAAGGCAAAAGTTAACATATCCCCAGGGTATGAAAAATTTCCTATGAGTCTTTTGTAACATATATGCAAAGAGTAATTAAAACCCAGTTTACAACGCATCTTAAAACCTGCAGTTCTGGGTTACTACATAAAACCCTGAAAATTAACCAACTGAAAAAAATAAACTGACTATAAACAAAGAGAAAGTGTTACTTCTCCTGTCCAAATAGAGTACTACTGCAAAACATAAATAGTATAAAGGAAAAATACACTGGATGTTTAAAATTTTCAGATTTCACCCTCATAGATGACTTCCATAACATAGGAAAGATAATTTAACTAAAAAAAGTAGAGGCTTTCAGATGCTGAGAAACTCCCCGAGTATTTAGTAGCCTGCATTGGAGCGCAAGTTCTATTTGGATATCACTGGTTTGAGGTACTGGGCATTAATGAACACCTCAGATGCACCGGTCTCCAAGCAGTGGATCACTTGGTTTATCGGTGCTGCCCATTTTCTTGTCTATTCCGGTGGCTTCTGACCCTTTATTGCAATTGCACTGCAGAGTCTACTCATAAATGACAACTATGTGCAAAACAGACGAGGAATGAACTCAGGGACTGAAAAATAGAGAACTTCCATTACCACATAAACACAGTCACACTCTGCACCTAAGCAGGCAAAATATACAGCAAGCCTGTGAAACATCATTTTAACGTGTTATAAATCTGGACTACAGGAATTGATGGGAATTTTGCCATTTACTTCACTGGGAACAGGCTCAGATCCTAGATGTGAATACATCACACCACTGCAAATATTATTTATTTTACAAGTGTTGCTCAGTTCATTGAGATGGCTGAAGTGTGACAGTGACACGAGATCTCTTTTTACCCTGACTATTCCTGCCAGTAGATTTGTATTCCTCCTGTTTCCCTTTGTGTGTGGGCTATGTGATATACGACAGGATATGACTGAGATTGTAAATAGCTATATTCTAGTTGGGTATATTATCTCGGAGTATATTTTCTAGCAAAATGCATAGGATATTAGCAGCTTCATTAAAAGAATGGTTCATTTATGTATGGACTAAGTGCTATGCTTTGCATACAGAGTTTGGGATGCATCTCCAAAACAATGCTTTTCACCAGCCTGTGACAACGCCACATGGAAGGATTTAATTTGTAGTTTGTTTGTTTTGCTACTTTTGCAACAGACGATCAGGAGGAACAGTGGTACAGACAGACAGAAAGTACCGCTGAAATCAGCTCATCAAACGGAAAACAAGGTTAAAAAAAAAATCTCCGCCTGTTAAAAAAACAAAAATAGAATTAAAACCATTTGGGGCTGGTCCAGCCACTTGGTGACAACACAACCAACATGGCTGCAAAGTCCAGATTCAACTCTCAAGCTTTCAAGCCAGCAGGGACTGGGAGCCCTATACACCTGCCTTTAGAAAGGAAGCGCTATCTGCTGTCATTCCTTACTGACCCCTTCTGTGTGAGGGAAGACACAATGCTGGCTACCTCCAGCAGCCCTGCAGCAGCAAGCAGCCAGAGAAGAGCTCTGGGCAGATAACACCTCAAGCCAATTCTGGCATGAGGACGGCTTATGGGGATCTACCCTCGTAGGATGATGGAAGAACACTGAGGGTTTTCTAGTGTGCTGTGAAAAACAGCACACTACAAAGTATAAGATCGTTCAAATGAGGAAAAGGGTATGGTAAGTCCGTTTTTTTCTTGTATGTCTACAGTGAAGATGTGGTGTCTTCAACGCAAATGGAAAACTACATTCACTTTGAAAGCTCTGGCTTTGAACACCTCTCTCTGAAGATGGTGGGAAATTAAGTGCTAAATAACAATAACCTAAAACCCCATGAAAGCACTCAACTGGAGAGCTTCTGTTTAATTCATCACTCCAGGTTCTTCAGGTGGCTGCGTACAAGGGCTGTGAAAACAACACACCTGAGCATGCAGCAGTACATCTGGAAGCACGGATACCAATGTCGTTTTTCCACAGGAAAATTCTGAGGTATTTCAAAAGGTGGAAGTTTTCCTCTGGAATACATCCGTAGGTTCAGAGCAAACACACTGGAACAGCAGTGGCTTGTACATATTGCACACAGTACATCGCTCAGACTTAGGTAATACTTCAATCAGAAGAAGTTTAAGAATTTCAGATTCATTAAAGAATTAAGTCACCTGAAACACATAAAGCAGTTAAGGGCAGGACAGTAGCTCTTTAAAAGCAGGGCAAGCTAGGAGACACTACCATACCATAAGAAAGGCTTCTGCGGTAGCCACAGTAGCAGAAGTGGTGGCCAGGAATGGACTATGAGAGACTCAAGGTATGTTTTTTGTTTTGCTTGGTTTTTTTTAAATGCGATTGTTTTGCTTGCAGCTAGAGTACTTCTATTTGGCCTTGGGTTCCAGGTACGTTTATAGTGCTCAAACTCTAGGCTCCAGTTGCAATAAGCAAGTATTTCCTAATTAAAAAGGAGGAAAGGGAAATACAGAAGGAATTACAGCCACAGCTTAGGGATGCGTTACCCGAGTCACTCGCTAGGGACTTTGTATCCAGAAACAGTGAATCCCCACCGCTTCTCTGGATAGCGGTTCCTTAGAGTAGCGGTGCAAGACCAACGTTTTTCAGGGCGCTCCTCGGAGAACTCGGGAAGATGGGCTCTGAAAGCTCGCCTTTGCTGGCAAGTGATGCGGTCACTGCGTCTTGGTCTTCTGACCAAAACTACAGTCCGTAAGAGCCCTGACTGCTGAAGCCCTTCCCCTAAACCACAGGATTCCCGGCGTCGGGTCGTGCCCCGCCCGAAGAGAACGGGAGGGTCGGAACGCGCGGGGATGCTCAGCGCCCGAGGCCGGAGACCGGCCTCTGCCTCGCCGAGTCACACAGCGAAGCCCCGCCGGGCGCGCAGGGGTGACGGG